CTTATCTCATGGAGCTATTTAATTGTAAATCCAATCTATTTAAAATAAGTAGTTCATTAACATATGCTTGTGCTCAAAGGCATACAACCACATGGGCTTATCAGACCTTCTAAACTAAAAAAAATTGGACAAAAATAAATTTATCTAGAAAATTTAAAAATACTATGTTGTTCTTTAATATAATGAATGATTGTGTATTAATGTATCAAGTAATGTGTCATGCTAATAGAACAGCTCTGCAAATCACTACAGGTAACACTGTAGCATTTTATTCCATATTTTGGAGTGCATTTTTCCAAAATGACTCAGCATGACTATCTATTACCACTTCTCCTTTAAAGAAGGAAAAAAACCTCAGAATTTTAAAAATATTTGTTCAATGACACTATTTAATAAGGATGTAGGTTTTTAAATAGTGCCTTAATGTTCTAAACTGAAAATGCCTATATAGTTGAACAGTACATTTGGAATATGTGATGTATCAATGTGTAGGGATGACTTAACAGATGAGTTTGAAGAGTCTCACTGAAGAGACTCTTCAATGATATTCCAAAAGTACAGTATAATCAACTCTACTGTTATTGGTAATTCTGCATTCTCATACATAAATCATTTACTTTCTTGTATCCAATAGCATACATTTTAAACCAAAACTAATTAACGTAATCAAAAGGCAAATGTATTGGGCAAATAGGCTGAGAAGTAATAAATGCTTGTCATATCCATTTATAAATCTACTTGTAAAAGTTTTGTGACTTCCAATGGAAATATCTTCTGCATAAATGTGCTCTATACTGTATGCTTGAAGCAAAAGTCTTCTGCCTTATTACAATATCATTATTAGGATCTCATATAACTTCCATTCAAATCTATTGCATTAAAATGACAAAGTTGTGTTCAACTTTGCTAAAGAAGATATCACGTTTAAGAAAAGAACCTTCCTTCCTTCCTTCGATTAAAGCATGACAAACAGAGAATAGGATATTTTGAATTCATATCAGGATGGCAGCTTAAAATGTACAAAATTCATAGATGAGTTGAAGTAGAAACAGATGAAAGAACTAGCTTAAAAATGACATGTCTTTTTAAAAACTGGGATGATATAAATGAGGCTATTCCTTGCATTATCTCCAAAGAATATTAAACGTTTTTGGACATGTTAACATAACTGTATTTGTTAATAAGGTAAGAATAAAGTGACTGATTCACATTAAAGTAGCTTCAAAACTACAAAAAAAAAAAAAAGTCATCTGAAATTAATGTATTGAGCCAGAGCAGAATTATGTTCCCCTTGATTTTCTAGGTCTAGAAACACTGGGTCCTGAAGCATGACCAATGTGGTTCTAGCATCTCCTGTTCTTTGCTATGTCACCTCATGAAGCATTAACTCAGATCTTCCATGTACTTTAAAATGCAATTTGAAGACTAGAGAAGAAGTTAATTTCTCCATACACAAATTAACAAGCTCTGTTAAGCATAAAATAGCAATAAGTATTAAATGTGGTAGCAATCTAATATCTAGTATCTCATAAGTTAATGAAAATATTAATTTGTATTGGTAGCAAATTACAATGTATTCTAGACATCCATGCATTAATTTAAAGTTTAGGTAAGGGAAGTACCAAAGTTATTGTATTGAATAGATGCATCATTAAATACTTTATCAAGAATGTCCAAATACCTCATGTGAATCCTTCAGAGATTTATCAGTGAATATCATTATTAGAAATAATGGACATTTTGACATTTAATATATTGCTTCACTAACCTTAAGAGGCAAAGTTAAAATGATAAGAATGTTGAAATAACTAAATGGAACTTCATTATAAGTCCTCTATTTAAGCCAAATAGAGAAGGTGATTTACAAAATGATAGATACAGTTTGTGGATCACAGAATGAATTCCCTTTTGTACGATAACACCACTTAAGGGAAGTTTTGCTTTTCTTGATTCTTTTCTCTAAAACAGACATTCTGGCATTTAGGAGATAAAAACGTATGATTTGACCTTTAAACTTCTGTTTCATTAACGTAACCACAAGCAACAGAGTCACTGACTGACACGTTTGCACTTTCAGGCCTTTAGCACTTAGTTATTTGATAACTTTTATGCCACTATTTGCTTTTTATTAGAGATACTTTGAGGAATGTGTTACATTAAAAATAGAGTACACTGTGTAAAGCTTAATAAATGAATTCATGTAATTCAGTAAAGTGTTCTCTTGAGTACTAGATTTCTGTACTTTGACGTGAGGGTGTGTATGTATTAGGGAAGATTTTGTTTTGTTTGTTTTGTTTTCTAATGAATTAGATAATTAGACCAAACACAATTCCAAGTATCCAAAGTGAAAACATAAACTATAACTCTGTGTCATTACTTTTGATGAAAAGTATGTCACCTGACTTACACTCAATTAGTCCTTAAGCTCTTCTGTACTGGTCTATGAAGAGAGCAAGTACCAGTTGCAGATGAGTCAAGAAAAATAACTGACACGATTTAACATTTTTTTAAGAGAAAGGATTTCGTATAAATATACACGTTAAAAGTGTTTAAAACCTGTGGCAATGTAAAAAAGATAAAAAATAGGATACTCCCTAGAGAATTCTAGAAGTACTGTAAGCAAATTACTCTGAGTAAAAAGTAATGCAGATTGGATTTGTTTCATATGACAAAAAAAAAAGATTCTGTTTATTTTAAAAAACATTGTAATTGGTTAGAAACATTATTCAGAAGAGACAGAGGTTGTATTCTCTTTTAAAAGTTTAAAAGTCAAAAGTTCCCTAAACTAAGATATGACAAAACTCAGGATTATGGCATATAAATGGATGAGGTACAGTGCACACAAGTAAATGAGGACTGCACCAAAACAACAAACCAGGAAGGATATTGGTGTCACTAGTTAGAGAAGCTTCACTATTGTAAGCAATGACTGAACTAAACATAGGTCTCCTAGAGGCAGAACATGGGTTCAGTTATTTTAATAGAAACAAAACACCTAAGATATACCATTAAAAGACAAGCAGTCTATCAAATCCTTTAGATTGAAAGTGTTAATGCTCATTACAAATAGGTAATATGCTGCTACAAACATATAGATCGCAGCTCCAATGATAAGTGTTTGCAACCTCTAAAGATAGCACTTCATCCTTACTGTTGTTTAAACTTCCAAAACAAACTTAATATAAAGAACATAAACAAGGATTTAATTTATATCCTGTGTGTGACCAAAAGTTCATCTCTTTTACCAACAATGAAAGGTATTTTACTAAGTTATAACAAATCATTTGTTACTTTTGTATACATCCAGTGGCATTTTGCATTTACAGTAGAGATAGCATATATTATAAAAGCACGTTATTAATGTATATTAGAAACTACAATAGTATTCCAGATGAATTTGGACTCATAAGCATGTTTTAGAAGGTGTAAATCATTTACCACACCCAGATCCCAGATCATTAAATTTAAAATATATTGCATGACTCAAATAAAACATAGCCCACTCTGTTTCACCTTAGACATGCCACATATATTGACTTTGTGCAATCTGCACTTACAAGCCAACTACCACCCAGTGGAGAGAAAGAAGATCTTTCAGGGAGATTTGAGATATATGTCAGGTGGAAGTGTCATGGGGTGAAGGGAGGGCAATGGGAAATGAAGGAATAAGGGCATTTAGCCTTGTTTAGATCTAAGCACCGCTGATTATCAATTTATATTTTCACAGGAGAAAAAATGTTTCTAGAAGCTAATCTGCAGTGTTGTTTAAAGATAAAATTAGTCTATGGATGTTCATTAATGACAAAACATTTTGATGCTCAAGCTTGGGTAAAAGAAGGGAAGAAGGGAGAGTGAGCAAAAGCAAAACTTAAAATGGGAAAAGGGAGGAAAAGGGAAAGATGAGGGGATAGAGAGAGGAAAGAGAGAGACTGTGTGTACACATGTGTGAGTGACAATGTGTGGAACAGTGAAGTAGCGTGTGCCTTTTAGACAGTAGAAGAGAATCTGAATGTGAAAGTGGTTGTTAGGGAGAGTATGGAAGTGCCAGCATGTGTGAGAATGTAAAACAGGGTATGTGAGGGAGTGTGGTTAAGAAAGAGAGATTTGTGAGGGTGAGAAAATGGTACTGGAAGGGGTTAGAGGGAACATACGTGTGTCTGACAGGGATGGGAACCGATATGAGGAAAGAGATGGGAAATGTGAGTCAAAAAGAGAAAGAGAGGGAGACAGAGGGAGACAGAGAGAGAGAGAGAGAGAGAGAGAGAGAGAGAGAGAGAGATCACAGAACAGGGATATTAATGAAGAAGAAAAATGGGGAATGGAGAAAGGTAAAGAGTGGAGAAAAGTGGGTTAAATAAGAGGTGAGAAATTAGAGTGGTGGAGATAAAAAAAGAAAATATGAGGAGAAAAAAGGGAGGAAAAATAGAAAAGGAATGAAAAGAGGAAAAGGAAGAAGGGGGGAGATGGAAAAAAGAAAAGAAAACGAAGGGAGAAAAAGAAAAGGGAGAAAGCAGTAAGAGGAAAGAAAGAAAACTGAAAAGGGAGAAATTGAGCCTAAGTGTCCAAGTGAGAGGGAAAATACATAGGAGCAGGGAGCCAGCCATCAGTTTGAAAAAGTCGCTTAGGCTGCAGTAAAATAGAAACAACCTGATAAACTTGTCAGACTCTCCAAGAGTACCCCATGACAATAAAACAGAGACCTTGTGAATTTAGTTTCCAAGTGGCACCTGCCCCTCTTAAACCTCACACTTCACTCATCCCCGGGCTACCTGTCGTTCCGGCAAAGTGCTTTAGCATCACCAGTCCGGCTTGCTACCTGCCCCGGGGTTAAGGGACCATGGCTCCACGCAGAATCAGCAACTGAATTTCCTGAAATGTAGTCTTTTGATAGTGATCACCAACAGCATCATTACTTGGTTTAAAAAGAAGGCAAAAAAGGTGGAAAGAGAGACAGAAAGACAGACTGAGACAAGTACGAAAAAGCACGACGTTCTTCCTACCTAAGCACCGCCGTGTCCCCTTTTCTGACCATCATGTTGTCCACAGCAGCCCAGGGGAAGTCCACACTCTGTCCAGCCGGGAGGCAGGAGGGTAGCAGGCAGCACAGGCTGAGGAGCACCGCCGCCAGCCACTGGTTCGAGCAACAAGCACCCTGCACCAACAGCATCATGTCCATCCCTGCTAGGGCTGCTCACTCTCCAGCAGCTTTCAGCTCGCACTCCCCCACCCCCTGGTGCTGGCTAGTCTTCCCGGGAACCAGGCAGCGCGCCACAGGATTTTTTTTTCTATTTTTTTTTTTTTTTAATTTGGTGGATGGGTGGGTTTCTTTTCTTTCTTCCCCCCCACCCCCCTCTAGTTGTTGGGTGTTCTTTCTCTCTTTTTTGCCTCCCCTCCTCCTCGTCTTTGCTTTCCCTCCCTCCCTCCCCTCCCACCCCCTAGCACCACACTACACCTCCTCTCGGTAGCTTTTGGCCGAGTCCGGAGTATGGCTAATTCTCGGGCGGCTCGCGCACTATCTAGCGAGAAGGCGAGCGCGCCGGCGAGTGAGGGAGGAGGAGCGGCGGCGGCGAAGGCTGTAATCGCGGCTGCACCCTCAGCAGAAGCAGCGCGGGGCGCATCGGCGGCCGGCGGCCCCAGGCTCGCGCGCGTTGCCAAGCGGCCGTTTCCTTAGCAACCCCGCCCGGAGACTGGGGATGCAGCAGGGAGGGGGGAAACGAATTGGGGCGGGGGGGGGGGGGGGGGGGAAGAAAAGAAAGAAAACGAAAAAAAAAAATCAGGAAGAGGTATATCACAATTATGCAAACTGAGAGGAAAAAAGAGATGCATCGGAGACAGAACGCTTCCCTTCCTGTCATACGCACTAGAGTGATGCTTTGCTAGAAAAGTCTCCTTGTCGGGGCTGAGGTGAACAGAGCAGAGGGGCGCTTTGCTTTCCCTCTTCAGTGCGTTTTACCTCTTGAGGCACCGTAACTTTTAAGTCCTCCAAGTTGTGGTCGGCGCCATCATGACGCCAGGGACTGTGAGGTGTTGTTTCTTTTCTTTCCAATCTCGCCGGGGCGGCCGCGCTACAGTTGACAAGCGGCCAACTAGTTCACTCTTTACCTCTTTTCGGATATAGGTAGGGACGGTGACGGGGGGGAGGGGCTGCTTTTTGAGGGGACAAGATGGGGGTGCTTGCAAGGCCTGGCGGTAGAGCAGCTGGCGCGTCTAATGGGTCAGTCGCTAAGGATTGGACGGCGGTCCCCCTACACCCCGCACCTCGTGCATGTTGACACTAAATTGTGTGTGTGTGTGTGAGAGAGGTATAGTCAAAGTGGAGAGCGCGTGGACGTGTGTGTGAGTGTGTAGTAAGCGCGCGCCCGTGTATGCGCGCGAGTCAAGCTCGCGGGGCCTTACGCGCGCGGCACGCAGACGCGCAGGGAGGGGCAGGGAGGGTCGTGAAGGGATGGAGTCGGGAAGAGACTGCAATCAAGCGTTTTAATTGTGTGCAGCCAGGCAGTCCTGTTATGTAAGAGGCAGTTTAACCCGTTTGAGCCTATCAGGCGGAATTATCAGCGCGTTCGAATCTAGGCAGGGCAAAGTTACCGGGTTTAACGAGTCACAGGTTTATATTTTTTAACAGCCTCCAAACCCGTTTGGATAGGCTTCCTACTCCGCGGCGCAGAGCGGCTACCCTCTCTTACGCCGCCGCATCCACGTAGCAGCTCGCCGCTACGCTGCGAGCCGCTGTCCTGGCCCAAGGCAGAGTGAGGTGCTGGGCATGGGGCCGCCGCCTACCCTTTTTTACTTCTTCCCTTCTTGAACTCCTTTCCAGATTCAGGATCCTTTAGCTATTCCAGTCCATTCGCAGATCAATGCGAGAACCGAGGCTAGAGTCGATAGCAGTTACGCCGATCAATCTTGCTCAGTGAGGAGTTTGGGAAGCAGAGCGGGGAGGTGAAGGAGAGAAACAAGTAATTAAAAAATATGCTCACCCCTCCCCTTCCTCCAACCCTATCCCCCTTAAGCAGTCTTGGAAGATTTTCTTCGGCTGACCCCAGTCCTTCATCCCTTGGAGGAAATAAATACAGCAAAACCTCGCACATCCCTAACTCGTCTTCCATAATGCTAGCAGGGTCCTTTGGCAAAGCGCAGAAGCAATAATCTCTGCAGGGGTCAGCCTCCGGCTGCCTCCCCAGACTGAGCTCTTTACGAGGCAGGCAGGGAGTCGTTTTGCTTGGCGGTAGCGGTGCTCAGAGTGATTTTTATCGCAGTGCATGAGGATATATGGGGAAAGGGAAAGGCTCCCATCACCTGTGACCACCCAGACTGACTGATCGAAGAGCCCCTAACCAGCATCACCTCTCTGCTGAAGTGACAAGTGACACTCCAAGGCCCGAGCCGTTTGCAGCAGGAGTTGCTGCTGTTACTAGTATTCAAACTTAACTCTCAAATCCGGCTCGGAAATTGAGAGTGCAACAGTATTCAACCGCGTTTTGAAACATCAATAAAATGTTAGTCATTTGCGGATGAATGGAAACATTTTCTTTACCGTCTGGTATGCTAGGGAAATAATTGTCAAATGACAGACTCTTGCTAATACTGAAGCCAGATACCTAGGTAACATTGTTGTCTTGTTAACTGCGTTTTTCTCTCTTGCGTGGTACACTAATGGATAAAGCTTAAAATTATCTAGGGCAAAGGGGGGATTAGAAGAATCGACATGTCGTATACATAGGCAAAACTTCGCAGTATTATTTAGTATTTTCACTAGAAATTATCTAGATTCTATTGAAGAGAAGCAGAAGGCACAGCTTCCAGCATTGTGACTCAGTTTAGTGCTATTTTATGCAGGGATAGGGTGGCAGCATTTTCTAGTACAAGCTGTGAAAAGCATCCTTTTGTAACCGCTGTTTCTCAGAGATCTGACATCTTCAGTGAGGAGGGGGGGAAGGAGCGGGGAATCTGTGACCAGGGATGGAGCTGCGCAGCAGTTTTAATATGTACAACAACCCTTCAGGCTTGTGAAAGGAAACTGGGACCACTTCTCTTTAAAGGCAAAGAGTTTATTTTCTTTATTTCTAGTTTTTATCTCAACTTCCATTCACTGATCACAAAACACTTAAATCTCACAAAACCCATCCAGAGGAAGCAATAATTGAACCTAGTTTATAGATGCATGGACAATTGGAAAGCTTATTTACATGTGCATCACTATTATTTAAAGTGAGTGCAAGAATGCTGAGTGGGGTAGCCTTATTACTGCATGCAGTTTCACTGTCCTTCTGACTGGGAAGGGAAATGATTTTCAAAGCTTTTATTACTTTCTTTTCTCCTCAACCTTTCTATGGGCATATATCTGAGAGGATTTTACAGGGTTTCTAGTATTTGCTTTTGAGGTCCTAGATTTCTTTCAAGCAGAGACTTAAATCCTATAAGTCTTGGCTCCTGAGAGAAAACCAGAACAAAAACAAAGAACAATGAAATGAAGGAAAGAACACCTCCCAGCTCAGATAGCACATTGTTCCTTAGTAGAATTTTTGTTTGTTTGTTTGGTTTTTAATAAGTATTGAGAATAGGTAGCAGCATTGTTGGAACATTTTAGATAATGAGGGTTGGAGTGGGTATAGTACGATAATCCCTTGGTCAGAGTTTTTAGGAATTGACATTGGAATGAATTACTACTACTACTACTTCCTCTTGAATCATGTGCTCTTACTTTTTTTCCAAAGCTCAACTTCAAATATTTGAAGAAATGTGGTGACTAATATTGAAGGAGAAAGGTGGAGCCTGACTTTAATAATTGATTATGCCTTTAACTAGACTGGTTTACATCCCCTGTTTTTCATGTCCTCTGACCTCAGGGGGCTTGGAAGGGTAATGTTGTAAGGAAGATTCTTATGCTTCTTTTGTTTAATAAACTTGATTTTTAATTGACAGTGTAAATGAGATTATTTTGGAAAAAAATTGAATATAAATTCAGGTTTATTTTCTGATAGCAAGTAAACCCAGATACATCTTTCATTCTATTACTGTGTAGGCATGAGAAATTTTAGGCAAGATAGGTCCCAGGACCTAATCAGAGCTAATGAGAGTACTTTGTAATCCCTGAAAGAGTCCGTCAGGAAGCCCTTTTAAACAGGACATATGAATAATAGCTCTTAAACTTGGGCCATAAATGAGTCTCCATTTGAATTAAACTAGTTTAAGCTTGGAGAACCTTGCCAACTTAAACTGGCCTATAGTGGTGATTTGCAGGTCGTTATGAGAACTACAAAGCTTGGGACATTTGTTGCGGGGGGAGAATATTTCTTTATAGAAAGGTTTCTCAACCTAGGCACTTTTTATGGAATTATAGTTGATTTACATTATTGTATTAAATATCAGGTATGCAACAAAGTGATTCAGATTATATTATATATTATATATATATATATATTATATATATATATATATATATATATATATATATATATATATATATTCAACCACCTAGAACACATTCCACAGGCAGAGTGTGGGCCATCTCAGAAGTCAGGAGGCCCCAGGGTATGGGGTGGTTGGTTTTTATGGGCTGGGTAATTTCTTTTTTTTTTTTTTACTTCCTAAATTATTTATTTATTTATTTATTTATTTATTTATTTATTTATTTATTATACAGCAGGTTCTTATTAGTTGTCTGTTTTATACATATTAGTGTATACATGTCAATCCCAATCTCCCAGTTCATCCCACCACCACCACCCCACACACACACTTTCCTCCCTTGGTGTCCATACATTTGTTCTCTACATCTGTGTCTCTATTTCTGCCTTGCAAACCGGTTCACATGTACCATTTTTCTAGATTCCACATATATGCATTAATATATGATATTTGTTTTTCTCTCTCTGACTTACTTCACTCTGTATGACAGTCCCTAGGTCCATCCACATCTCTACAAATGACCCAATTTCGTTCATTTTTATGGCTGAGTAGTATTCCATTGTATATATGTACCACATCTTCTTTACCCATTCATCTGTTGGTGGGTATTTAGGTTGCTTCTATGACCTGGCTATTGTAAATAGTGCTGCAGTGAACATTGGGGTGCGTGTGTCTTTTTGAATTATGGTTTTCTCAGGGTATATGCCCAGTAGTGGGATTGCTGGGTCATATGGTAGTTCTATTTTTAGTTGTTTTTGTTTGTTTGTTTGCGGTACGCGGGCCTCTCACTTTGTGGCCTCTCCCGTTACGGAGCACCGGCTCCGGACGCGCAGGCTCAGCGGCCATGGTTCACGGGCCCAGCCACTCCACGGCATGTGGGATCTTCCCAGACCAGGGCACGAACCCGTGTCCCCTGCATCGGCAGGCGGACTCTCAACCACTGCGCCACCAGGGAAGCCCCTACTTTTAGTTTTTTAAGGAACGTCCATACTGTTCTCCATAGTGGCTGTATCAATTTACATTCCCACTAACAGTGCAAGAGGGTTCCCTTTTCTCTATACCTTCTCCAGCATTTGTTGTTTGTAGATTTTCTGATGATGCCCATTCTAACCAGGGTGAGGTGATACCTCATTGTAGTTTTGATTTGCATTTTGTCTAATAATTAGTGATGTTGAGCAGCTTTTCATGTGCCTCTTGGTCATCTGTATGTCTTCTTTAACCTAGGCATTTTTAATAATTTGGGCCAGGTAATTCTTTGTTGTGGAGACTGCCCTGTGCATAGGAAAATGTTTAGCAGCATCCCAGGTCTCTAGTTACTAGATGCCAGTAGCACCAGTAGATGCCAGTAGCTGTGATAACCAAAATTTCTTCAGACATTGCTAAATGCTGTGTGGACCAGTGTAGAGGGGTGGCAAAAATTACCCTAGGTTGAAAAACTCTCCATTATAGGTTAATTTTTTTCAAATATATACCATCTTGTGCTTTTCAAACAAAATAATAAAGCAGATTGTGGTCAAAACAAAAGTATTTTATTTGAATTCTATAGCTGCAAAGTAGCTTCTCCTCCTCATCTATTCAGTATCTGCATTTACCTGCTATGTGATTGAGTAGCCCAGGTTAGTGGGGGTGTAATTAATTGAATGGCTGAACATGACTATCTTTTCATGATGTTCCCATTGGAGCTCTTTTATTTAAGTCAGAGCGGAATGGATA